CAACCCCTATATTATATATGAAGTGAAGGAGTAAAAAAAAATCAGTACACATAATATTAAATTTTGTTACATACATTTGTAGAATAATTACTTCAAAAGACACGAAGGTTCAGTTAAAGCGATGTTTTAGATGTATATATATTTTATTTGAAAAGGCTGCTTTTCTACTGGTAAAATTTCACATGCACTAAGCGGGTATCGTGTCTTAATTTAGGCATATATTTGCACCATTTCTATGCATTATATATAGAGAGAGAATTTAGTTACACAGAATGCAATTCTAGGCAACAGCATGGAGCCAAAATAGAGGTTTGTTGTTTGAATAAATAATGTTTACAGTATCTCCAGCCTTGTTTCTTTATTTTTTGTACGATCCCTATTTGCAGGTTCTTAAATTCCCAGTATTTTTATTTATCTTGTTCGAACTGAGAGTCATCACGACATATCGTTGTTGAACTATATCTAACAAAAGAAAGTGTCACTGCTAGAAATTATTTTTAATATAAGGTGGTCGTTATTGGGAGACAACATCAAACGTCACTTCAAGAACCGCAATTGGTCGAAGATATTTACATTGGATGTTAATAAATTATATCAATGCATATGATGTGTTTTAGGTCCAGAGATACTGACTGTTTTCATGATGGATACAACGTAAAATTAGCCGTGTTTTTAGGGGGCGGTTCTGGGTAGAATGGAAGTAATTGCGATAAACACATTGGTTGATTATTTTGCACATTTCCAGCAAAGGAAGGTTGAGTTCTGAGACAGGAAGTTTGGGACCTGTTCCTGTTCGTAATGTTTGGCGCTTCCGCTTTTCGTTGTGATGAGGAAATGCACGTGTTGTGTAAAACGTGCAACAGCCTTGAATGGTACAAATTCTTATTTAATAAGGAGATTGTTAATGTCAGCCAGGGAGTATCTGACAAATACTACACAAAAGATAAGAAGTATAGGGTAATACATTTTTAACAGTAAAAAGGTAGGTGAACTTATTCTTTCTTCGAGAACCTATACAGAAAGGTATCTATGCTTTGTTAAATGGAATTTTATGTCATAACACTTTCGCGTTTCGTGCTTGTCATGCAGATCCCCATGTAATAAAGTGCTTGCTGGTGGAATAATGACAATACATAGGGCTTTTCATAATACTTTCGCGTCTCGTGCTTGTCATGCAGTTCTCCATGAATTCAAGTGCTTGCTAATGGAATAATGACAACGCATAGGGATTTTATGTCATAACACTTTCGCGTTTCGTGCTTGTCATGCAGATCCCCATGTAGTAAAGTGCTTGCTGGTGGAATAATGACAGTACATAGGGCTTTTCGCGTCTCGTGCTTGTCATGCAGTTCACCATGTAGTAATGTGCTTCTATGTAAATTAATACCTATATATACGCTTTAAAATAATTGTAAAGTCTTATTTTTAGGCTAAAAACACTACGTTAGCATGTAACACCTGAAATAATGTTCAGTTTATATCAAATGACAGAATTTCCCTATGCGTTGTCATTATTCCATTAGCAAGCACTTGAATTCATGGAGAACTGCATGACAAGCACGAGACGCGAAAGTATTATGAAAAGCCCTATGCGTTGTCATTATTCCACTAGGAACAGCGCTATTATAACTTTACAGCATCGTGATCTGCATGGAATAACACAGAAAAACAAACTCCTAATGTATTGGATGCTTTTGATTGAGCTACTTAAAGCTTCGTGAGAAAAGATTAATACAACTCTAGTTTTTTTAAGCATATAAAATTTTATCCTAAAATTTAAGATACATATTGGAGATAGAATTTATCGCTTCTATTGTACTTTATTGATTCAAAGATAATTAAAGGGACTGGAACAAGGCTGAGCAAGGTACTGTTCATTTGAGGCATTATGGGTATTGTTCTGAGATGCTCTCTTACAGTTGCACGCATTCTTTGGGAATCATCGACCGTTACTTAGTTAAGCGTCAAACACTTAAGTACGGGGAGAGGGAGTAGGGGTGTTTAAAAAATTTCTTAATTGTTTAAACACTTCAGTAGGCTTGCACCTGTGACTTCAGCAACTTTAGAATGTACAGCAACTTACAGAATACTTAGCCTTGGTTACAACTTAATTGTTTAATTAAACACTTCAGTAGGCTTGCACCTGTGACTTCAGCAACTTTAGAATGTACAGCAACTTACAGAATACTTAGCCTTGGTTACAACTTAATTGTTTAAACACTTCAGTAGGCTTGCACCTGTGACTTCACCAACCTTAGAATGTACAGCAACTTACAGAATACTTTGCCTTGATTACAACTTAATTGTTTAAACACTTCAGTAGGCTTGCACCTGTGACTTCACCAACCTTAGAATGTACAGCAACTTACAGAATACTTTGCCTTGATTACAACTTAATTGTTTAAACACTTCAGTAGGCTTGCACCTGTGAGTTCAGCAACTTTAGAATGTACAGTAACTTACAGAATACTTAGCCTTAGTTACAACTTAATTGTTTAAACACTTCAGTACGCTTGCACCTATGAGTTAAGCAACTTTAGAATATACAGTAACTTACAGAATACTTAGCCTTAATTACAACTTTTTTTTTATGATTTTGACAAAAATTCGTTATTGAATAACTGGTAAATAATTTTTTCATCAAATTTTATAAATAGTATTTTTCACGGTCCTTTGTTCTCTGAGTGATAGTAAGCTTCTGTATGTTAATAAACACGTACATACTTTAAAGCAGAAGTGTCTGTTAAGTGTTTAACCAACAAAACAAAAAATCTTCGAGGCATATGTTTGGTAATTTTCATCCATCAAGCTATCAGATAAAAGCTCTCATTTAACAGCTATGACGTCACAAGATAGGTCTTTGTATAAAGAGTTGCTTTCTCCCAAAACGTTTTAGAACGTCGCAAACACTTTCAAACAGAAGAAAACCTATTTTAAATATCTAACGAACTGATTTAATATATCGAACCACGTGGCTTATACCATGAAGCAAACTAGTTAAGAGCATGAAAGAAACTGCTTTAAGATTAGATAATTAAGGATTAGGATGTGTAATAAATAGGTTTATAACATGGAATCAGTCGGTTTATAGCATTTAACGAATCGGTTTACAGCACTGAACGAGTCCGTTTATAGCATTTAACGAATCGGTTTACAGCACTGAACGAGTCGGTTTATAGCATTTAATAAATCGATTTACAGCATGGAATGTGTCGGTTTATAGCATTTAATAAATCGATTTACAGCATGGAATGTGTCGGTTTATAGCATGGAACGAATCGATTTATAGCATTCAACAAATAGGTTTACAACATGGAACAAACCGGTTTACAGCATGAAATGGGCCAGTTTACAGCATGGAGCAAATCGGTTTATGGCATTTAACGAATTCGTTTACAGCATGAAACGAGTTAGTTTACAGTATGGAACGAGTCGGTTTATAGCGTTCAACAAATAGGTTTACAACATGGAACAAACCGGTTTACAGCATGAAATAGGCCAGTTTACAGCATGGAGCAAATCGGTTTATGGCATTTAACGAATTCGTTTACAGCATGAAACGAGTTGGTTTACAGTATGGAACGAGTCGGTTTATAGCGTTCAACAAATCGGTTTACGGCATGGAATGAGTCGGTTTGCAGAATCAAACTATTCGGTTTCCATCTTAAAATGACGCGGCTAAGAATATGGAATCCATTGGTTTGGAAAATGGCAGTATGCACCGTGTTATTTCAACTATTACAATGAATTAGAATAAATATTTTGCATAAACAAACATATAGTTAAGCACAAATTTATCTATCAACTGCTGCCCCCTTTCAATGTTAACTTTTGCTTGATCAAATTTAAAGCAATAAACTGCTCTGTTGAGTAGTGTACGATTATTAAAATTAGAAACTATACCAACAATATTTGAAATCTTGAAAGACAACATAAATGAATAAATTTTTTGTTTTGTTTTTCTGCAAGTGGTAAGTATACTCAGCACGTTTCAATTATGAACACGCCCAAGTACTTGAAAGCGAATCAAATTACTTGGACTGCAAACAGTAAACAAACTCGTTTTCTTTTATGACGTTCGTTCAAGACACCTAGAAGATTAGACAACGCTCTTCAAACTAAGGAATTCAAAAGTACAGCACAGATCAGTAAAGGTCGTGTGAGATTGGATTCCGTTCTCTAGAATAACCACTTGATCTTGATTATATACATGTTATATAGACGACCATTAGAGAAGAAAATGCAGTGACTGACCTAGAGGGCCAATTGTGGTAGATAAATAAATTAAAATCCTTAAAACCTGATTGGCTTTGTTGGGAAGAACATCACTTGCTGTACTGGTATCGAGAGTTACTGACTGGCTGATTGTTTAGTCCGATGATATCGTAATGAGTACACTACAAAGTAAACTTTTAGCTACTGAATGAGAGCTTCGACGAAGTGCTGAAGATAAGAACGTGGAGTATTTCTACTAGTTGAGAAATGTTAGCATTATTTAAACATTTTTGAGAAAACACGTGTATTAAGTATTGGTGAGTCTTTATCCAAAACGAAATTACTTTCTTTATAGTATGTCCACTTAATACTTAACTATTAAACGTTTCTCTTAAGTAGGTTACCCGTCTTTTGAATGTAAAATAATTTATTTCTAATATGTTGTATTGCATGTAAAACGTAGTGAAGGGTCAATATTGTTTGAAGTTTAAAGCAATACTTCGTGGATGTCAGAAAATAATAAGTGGATAGCTATAAACTTGTGCTTTTATTAAGCCTAAGGAAACTAAATATATCATGCCATCTGTCGGGCTTCCATTATATATCAGAAATGAATTCTATCTTAAGTATATTAGTTAACTAACATTTTAAGTGTTTTCATTTTTCTACATTACTTCCTGTTTTAATGGACTTGCCATGTTTCCTGAATCTTTTCAACTCTTGTAAAGTATATCATACGACAAACACAATGAATTAATTTCTTCTTCATTCTTTTATCCCAATAGGCCTGTGGAATGCATATGATAAAAAAAAAGGTACTTTAACGCACGAGATAGCTATATATATTGTGTGTGTGTTTGACATACCGCTCCAGAAGAAAAGTTTAGAAAGTTGGGGGCGTGGGTTGTCGAATTCCGCCTTACCAGCTTCCGCTATTAAGAAGTCCTTGGACCTTATCGACACCCAGAACGTGTTGTATCAGTCAGCACTGCCAGAAGAGGCGCTCTGCACTTTGTTGGGACTCCTCCAACAGTTGATACTAGGTTTACCGCCAGGTGGAGGACTTTGAGAATGTTTTAAGTCTAGACCATTCTAAAATATTTTAAAAGCTCCGCCCTGGTGGGCCCTTTAAAACTGGCGTTGTCAAGTGCTTTGAACCATCTCTGAGAATCTGATGAAAGAATTCATAGGTTTGAGAAGATGTTAAGCTGAAATCTTCACTCGTCGACTACAAAGGATTTTCCAAATCTTGAAATTTAGTTTCTTGTTGTTTAATTAAACGATTTTTAAAATGACTGTGACAAAAGTTTTAAAGAAACACTTTGTGAATAGTAGTTGTTATTCCTTCAAAAGAAATTTTTGGATGTTAATTTTTCTAAAAGTTGTAGAGCTGATTCTATGCTCCAGTACTCCAAATGGTAGAGGCATTCGGCACATGAAAGAGTTTACCTCGACCAACCCAGTATTCCAAGTTGTTGTTCATCAGAACACCAGTGAGGTTTTTGTTGGTGGCCGAAATTACCTCTACAAATTTGATCGTAATCTTACTCTATTACAAAAAACTACTACTGGACCTGAACTCGACAGTTTATTCTGCTTACCACCCCCATTTGTATGCAATAAAACACGTCTACCATCTGATAACGACAACAAGGTTCTGGTTCTGAACTATGATAAGCCGAATTTTGTATTACTTTTAAGCTGTGGAACTCTTAATCAGGGTATGTGTACGATGTATCCTGCTTCTGACATTCTAAGAAGTAAAAGGATAGGAAGTAATCACAGAAATGAAACAATCAATTACATCGCTAGTAAAGGGTCTGTCGTTGCATTTTTTGTACCAAGACCCGTGGGAGGCTCTGTATTGTTTTCTGCATCATCTTATGATGGACGACCCGTAGAACTGAGACCCGAGGCAGTATCCAGTAAAATAATCAACGTCGTTACTAACTCTGTGAATTTCCAGTATACTTCGAAAACAGATTATTCCCACACAGGTGTGGACCTCTTGACAAAATACAAGAAGAATTATCGAATTGAGTATATCTATGGGTTCAGTTATGGGAGCTTTTCGTATTTTTTAACAACTCAGCGAATGTCTCCAATATCAGACAATTATGAAACCCGTCTAGCCAGGATTTGCAATAACGATTCGACATTCTTCTCGTACATAGAACTCCCTTTAATGTGCCAGAGAGGTTTGGATCAATACAACATCGCTACCACCGGTTTTCTTGGGCAAGTTGGTAGTACCCTGAAGCGACGTTTGAAATTGAACCACATTAAAGACGTACTGTTTGTAACTTTTAGCCGTGGTAAAAACGGCTACTCCAAGACCGTAGACAAATCGAAGGGTTCTCTTCTTTGTTCATTTCCCATGACTCATGTGATTAGTTCTTTTACAACTGCCATAAGACAATGTTTCCAAGGAGATCATCGGACCCAACTGTTAGAAGTTTTTCACGGAAGACGTAACTCTTGCAAGAAAGTGGTAAGTATTAGAACTTTTTTAACGTTCATGATATAAGGTATAATATTAAATTTTTCGAAGTTAGGTTAGCGTTTTAAAACGCATAGTATCTATTGCGTAGCTTAGTGATTAAAGTAATGGACTATGGATCTGTGGATCTCACGCTCTCGTCACATAACTTCCAAAAACAATTGCGCCCCTTACCTTGGAGCCGTGGATGCGCTATAAGGGTGACAGTCAAACCCCACTACTCGGTCAGACAAGGGTAACAGAAGAGTTAGCGGTGGGTACTGTTGACTAGTTAGTGTACATTTCCTTCTAGTTTATCAAATAAAAATTGAGGATGGTTAGCGCAAATAACCCTTGAAAAGCTTTACACGAATATTCGTAAAATAAACTGTATGTGTAATAACCCACGTCTGATTTTTTTTTTTAGTCGAATAGCCTATTTTATATAATGTAATCTATTAACTGACCTCTTAATACTGTTGGCGTAATGCAGTATTGGTATTTGTGTCTACATCTTTCATCTTATACTTAAATTAATTCAAAATATTTTAATAATAACTTAAGAATACTGAACGTTTGGTTGCACGTGCAGAATTAGTTTATTATTTAAAGAACATATATATATATATATACTTTTTAAAGAAGAAATTTTTGCCACATGTTTAAAAATATTTGGATATTTTATGTACTAAAGTTGATAACTATTATCACAAATTTTCTGTTTGTTGTATTTTCTCTTCAGAATATTCCTATAGATGATAATTTTTGTGGTTCCGGATATAACTCTTTCATCCAAGGACGAGACAGTGTCTTGGGTGGGTTTCGAACTCATGTAGATGGCCAAATTACTTCTCTTGCTGTAACACTTCAGAATGGAAAAACAGTAGCAGCTTTAGGAACAGAAGAGGGTGACGTCATCAAGGTGTGTTTTTAAATAATTTTGAAAATAAAATATTTGAGTAAGAATTAATGTTTGTTCCACATTTTGAACTCAAAAGTGTAAGTAATTTTAAGAATTATATGTTTATCCGAGTTTATAGTGTGCATGATTTTCAGTCCATATATCTGAACTGTTTAGAATTGAGACCCCCCCCCCACTATAATTTCGTAGCCTTATAAGAAACAAGGATTTACCTGCGTTTACATCTTGCAATAGATTTATCTGGTATAAAAAAATCTTACAAGGTGAAATAAGATATGTTAATATTTAATGATTTATTAGATGTAATATAAGGGGCAAGATTTCTGAGAGCGCTGTTTAACCTCTGGTTTTACCGGTTTTTAACAGCTTCCTAAATATATATTTTTTACTCGTATTTGTGTGTTTTCTTATAGCAAAGCCACATCGGGTTATCTGCTGTATCCACCGAGGGGAATCGAACCCCTGATTCTAGCGTTATAAATCCGAAAACTAGCCGCTGTCCCACCGGTGACACTCATATTTGCATCAGCATTCTTAGAAAGAAAAAAAAACGAACATGTTTATTATATTTTTGTAAGCAACTCTGACCTTTCATCAGTTGTGGTACTGTATTATTCGTAGAGTACCACTTTATTTGTTTGGTTACAAATTTTCTTACAAAGCTATACATATAGTGGGCCTGGATTATGAACCTGAGGATTCGTGGTTCGCGAACTGTTGTCTGTTTGTTATGAATTTCGTGCAAAGCTGCACGAGGGCTATCTGCGCTAGCCGTCCCTAATTTAGCAGTGTAAGACTATAGAGAAGGCAGCTAGTTAGCACTACCCACCGCCAACTCTTGGGCTACTCTTTTACCAACGAATAGTGGGATTGACCGTTACATACACGGCTGAAAGGGCGAGCATGTTTGGTAGGACGGGGATTCGAACCTGCGATTCTGAGATTGCGAGTCAAACGCCCAAACTACCTGGCCATGCCGTGCGTCGCGAGAATTGTTGTCTTAAAAACTTGTTCCGCACTTTAAAACCATGGGTGTGACATAAGAGTGACGGTCAAATCTCACTATTCGATCTATACAAAAGTGGCGCAAGAGTTGGCGACGGATGTTATTAACTAGCTGCTTTCTCTCTCTTGTATATAGTCCACCTGTGGGACAGCGATAACTATATACATACTTACAATGCTTAAATCTGGGGTTCGATTTCGTGAAGTGGACACAGCAGATAGCCTAGTGTGGGTTTGCTCTAAAAACAACCAAGCAAACTGTTGTATACCAGTTTAAGATTAGGCCCAAATATCCCTTTGTGTAGCTTTGGACGAAATTATGGAGCAAACAACAAAGTCTTTAGAGAAAGTGTAATCTTATTATACGTTATGGTGTACCTGTAAAGTACGATTTCTTTAAGCCTTCTGTTTCACCTAGACAAGTATTATGTTTTGATTATCCTTACGTTACCAGAAGATAAGCGGTTAGTTTAGATTTGATATTGTGGTTGAAGTTTACTGTCTTAATTGTATTTAACAACTGGAATGTTTTAGAGATAATTTCTAAACGTATCAAACTTTTGTGTTCACCAATGAAAACATTTAACATTTTTTTTTTTAATTTACAAGGAAAAGAATACAACAAAGACTTAAAAGGGAGTAACAAAAGGCATATAAATTGTTAACGATCAAAATGATTGATTGTGCTCAAACTTAACGTTCAAATATGCATATCTGTATCACGTGGTCAAACGACTTTTAGGAAACTGAAATTCTCATGAACATACCAGCTTTTTTATATTAGTAACGAAAACCTTGAAAGACTGAAAGCTTTACTAAGAAAGCGAATGTTAAACCGGATAAGAACAGAGAGACTATGATGAACTTAAACCTACCATCTTGTTGGCAGGTCGCAATATTCGACATATTCATCATTTTAACCCATTATGCCTTGCAGTTGTCGCCTAGTTCACACTGGGGACATATAATAACCAGGTTAGGCCATCTGGTTTTTATCGTCCATGTTTCCCTTCCATCCACAGACCTCACAGTTGACATTGCAGTTTATTTGCGACATCACTTGTATGTGAAATCACGACGATTTCCGTTTCCTTGCATCGTTTCGTTGAGCACGTAGACCATTGATTTATATGGGTTGTTAGGCCGTTTTAAGGTCGTAAGGACATCTGGCGGTGTTATTTTGCCGTGAAGCATAATGGCCTATGTTTAGATTTCGTTATAAAATGAATGAACTCCGGAGTTTGAACAGTAGTTATGTATGGTTATTTTACTATAATTTTTATATTGTGTCAACTCCAAAACCAATTAAATTAACTTTTTTGATATAATCTTTAAAAAGAATTACACATTGCTTCCGGTGTCATGGAGTCGAGCAGAATTAGACAAACGACATCAACTCTTTTCAGTAATCATTCAAGCTCTCAAAGTACAGTAACCGCGCAAAATGGGGATCATCATTCTTTGCAATAGAATGGAGAAATAAACTTAAGTTCCTTTTTAAAGCAATGTTAAGAAAATTTAAATCACAAAGATAAATAAAACATTTGGTTGCATATGGCTGGCTTTGGACAATAGTGTATCGATTTTCATCATTGGTACATAATATGTTTTTCAGAAGTAATAAAACTTTCGAAAAATAATCTAATTAATAATGGCTGGAGACGGCTTGAATGGGTAATGAAGAATAACTTTAATATAAGTACCTGATGATGAC